CTGTCACCTTTTGCTCAGCTGTGAGGACTAACTAATGTCCAGTTAAATCAAGTTTGTATTGTTTAAAGCAGAGATTCTTAACCTATGGGGGCCATGAGTGCCACCTTGGGGGCCTCAAAAGAACAACAGTTTTTAACTTTGGGCCGCAGAGGGCCGTGGGACTGCATTGATTTTGAATAAGGGGCAATACACGTTCTCACCACTAGTAGCAGTAGTGCACCAGTCAGATGTTTAACAACTTTTTTTAATATGTAGAAGAAGAAACTTAGAAACCTGCCGAGAATGGAAACCTATTTTAAAGGAGACCAATTATGGGTCCTAGAAATGTTTATGGTATGTCTGTGGGCTATCCAGACCATGTTCATTCAATTTAATGCACAAAATAATTCTCAGATAAAATTTCCCATTTTCTAGTTCTGTCTGCTCTGACTTCCGTTCAGAAGAGCTGTTTATGTTAATGAGCTCTGTTGGTAACGCCCTCCAAAAATCTGTTGACATTAACTCCGCCCTCCAAAAATCTGTTGACATTAACTCCGCCCTCCAAAAATCTGTTGACATTAACTCCGCCCTCCAAAGCCAGCGTTTACCTTAGCATGGCTAATAATAGCAGAACTATGTTGTACAACCGTATATAGACCCTGAGTCAGACCCAGAGGCAGAGTTGGGGTCACAGCTTCTTTTTATTTTTCTCCCCCTCCTCTGCTCTGTGCTCTGTTACCAGAGCAGGGAGCAGCAGCAGCGGTCAAAATACCTCAGAAACTCGAACAAATAGGCTTTAACAAGGCTTTAATAAACTAAACAATAGAGTTACATGAGAAAATATGTTCATAAYGAATGAAAATAAATAATTAAATTGTTTCCATGCCAGTCTCAAACCCTGGTCTCCCACTCTCTGGTCCAACACTCTAACCATTGCCCTATTGGAGACTTGTTGTGAAATGAGCTGCACATTGCACAACAACACGGTGACGGCTCTTTATACCAAGGAGGTGGAGCCTCACTCAGGGGTTGCTAGATAAGGGGCTGAACGCAGTTTCCGGTGGGTTGTCATACAGCTTGTGACATCACAAAATGACAGAAGTATAAAACTTT